CGACGAAATAGGAGGGACGACGACGAGACGCCGACGACGGACGACGACGACGACGACGAGGGAGGAGGAAGAAGGACGACCACGGCGACAACGACGACGGAAACGACCACGACGCCAAAGAGGACGACGACGACGAACACGAGGAAAGACAGAGGACGACGTAGGCGACGACGACGACGACGACGACGCGGGAGGAGGGAGGACGGCGACGACGACGACGACGCAAGAACGCGCGCGCACGCTTTTGTTGAAAGTCCGTGTTACGAAACCTTGTGTTGTTGTAGGTTTTTTCGGCACACGATGCTGAAATCCTTCCGAAGCCGATGGGTTTTGAAGGAGTTCGGCATACGCGCGCGACGACGCGCGCGTCTGCACTTCGTCCCATTTTTTGCAGAGGATTCTCGCGACGGCACACGCGCAAGGGCGTTCGACAGATTTCGACATACGGGCGCACGAAGCCCGGTTGGTCGCATTTTGTGAAAATCTTGAAAAACTTATGGTTTTCATAATGTCTGTTCGCAATGAGTTGTCCACTCCACTGCTCGCGCAAACATCCCACCCACCCACCCGCAACTTGGTTTGCAAAATCTCTTAAGACCGTGACGGTGGGTACCAAATGGCACTCGGCAACGACAGCGACGCCGACGACGACAGCGACAACGACGACGACGACGCCGCCGACAACGACTACGACGACACCGACGACGTCTCCAACGACGACGACGACGACGACGACGACGACGACGACGACACCGACGACGACGACGCCGACGCCGACGACGACGACGACGATGACAACGACGACGACGATGACGACGCCGACGACGACGACGACGACAACGACGACACCGACGACGATGACGACGCCGACGACGACGACGACGATGACGACGGCGGCGACGACGACGACGCCGACGCCGACGACGACGACGAAAACGAAGACGACGTCGCCAACGAAGACGACGACGACGTCGCCAACGAAGACGACGACGAGGGAGGAGGGAGGACGACGACGGCGACAACGAAGACAACGACGACAACGACGAGGGAGGAGGGAGGACGGCGGCGACGCGAACGGCGAAGAAGGAGGAAGGACGACGACGCCGACGACGACAACGACGAGGCAAGAGGGAAGACGACGACGACAACGACGACGACGACGACGACGACGACGACAACGAAATAGGAGGGACGACGACGAGACGCCGACGACGGACGACGACGACGACGAGGGAGGAGGAAGAAGGACGACCACGGCGACAACGACGACGGAAACGACCACGACGCCAAAGAGGACGACGACGACGAACACAAGGAAAGACAGAGGACGACGTAGGCGACGACGACGACGACGACGCGGGAGGAGGGAGGACGGCGACGACGACGACGACGACGACGACGACGACGCAAGAGCGCGCGCGCGCGCTTTTGTTGAAAATCCGTGTTACGAAACCTGGTGTTGTTGTAGGTTTTTTTCGGCACACGATGTTGAAATCCTTCCGAAGCCGATGGGTTTTGAAGGATTTCGGCATACGCGCGCGACGACGTGCGCGTCTGCACTTCGTCCTTTTTTTTGCAGAGGATTCTCGCGACGGCACACGCGCGAGGGCGTTCGACAGATCTCGATATGCGCGCGCGAAACCCGTTTGGTAACATGTTGTGAAAATCTTGAAAAAAAAACGCATGGTTTTCTTAAGTTGCCGCAAGAGCTCGCGCGTAAGCTTTTCTAGCAAATCAGTGTTGCGAAACCCTGTGTTGTTGCATTTGTTTTGGAAATTCGATTGCGAAATCCTTCCGACACCGAATGTTTTTGGAGGATTTCAGCATGCGCGCGCGACGGCGCGCGAGTGTGCACTTCGTCCCATTTGTTGCAAGGACCTTGTGACAAGTGTCATGTTAGAACAAAAAATGGCCCCGCGTATCGTTTTTTACAACGGACACCCAGGGGGGTCGATACTGGCCCCCCTGGGATAGTGTAAAGTCATATTGAGGATGGACATGTGGCCAGAATCATATATGATTTACATACCCGAAAGAGGGGCCGACAACGCCGGGGGGGTAGAGTCTATTCTTTTTTAGGAAAGGAGAAGTAAGATTTCGCAATAGCTTGCGCGTAAGCTTTTTTAGCAAATCAGTGTTGCGAAACCCTGTGTTTTTGTATGTGTTTTGGAAACTCGATTGCGAAATCCCTCCGACACCGAAGGTATTTGCAGGATTTCGGCATGCGCGCGCGACGGCGCGCGCGTGTGCACTTCGTCCAATTGTTGCAAGGGGTCGTGTAAAGTGTTATGTTAGAACAAAAGATGTCCCTGCGTATCGTTGTTTACGAGGGAACCTCAGAAGGGTCGATATCGCCCCCCCCGGGGTAGTGCAAATTCATGTTTAGGATGGACATGTGGTCAGAATCATATATGATCTACATACCCGAAAGGGGGGCCGATAACGCCGGGGGGGTAAAATCTATTCTCTTTTTAAAAAAGGAGGATTCATTTTTACAAACGACTTGACAAACCCACGTTTTTGCAAACATCCCTCCCACCCACCCGCAACTTGGTTTGCAGAACCCATGCGGCGGCAATTGCGACGAGTGCTGGGCATTTGCTGGTGAATCTCTGCGGCCGCGCTAGCTCGCGCATGCTCTCGCGCGCACAGCGGCCAGCTAGTTTGGCACGACCAACGCGGCCGCGGTGGCGCTGACCGCTGGGCATTTCCCACCGGGAACGTCGGTGCGAGTCAGTGACTTGGGCGGACCGGGTATCATGGCGACGCCGACATCGGCAGACACCATTTTGAAAGCAGCGATGAAGGTGACAATGGTGGCAACGACGACAGCAATGGCAATGACGGCGCCGATGGCGATGATGATGTCCTCGCGTCGGCGCTGAAGGTTTTTGGAGGAGTTCGACATGCGCGCGCGGCCGACGCGCGCGAGTGACCCACGTGGTATCATTTATTCGACACGGATCGTGCCCCCCCCAGCACGCGCGCAAGGGCGCTCGAATAAATTCGGCATGCGGCGCGAGAGGTCCGTTTGGCAGAATTTGATGAAAATGTTGAAAACCGATGGCCTTTCGTAACCGCAAAACCGCGAACAAAAGTTGTGTTGAAAACTGACGTTGCAAAAACATGCGTTGTATATGTTTTTGGGCCACTCGTTTCTGAAAGCCTTGCGGGAACCAAGGTTTTTGAAGGACGTCGGCGCGCGCGACGAGGCACGCGCGCGCGTGCACGTCGTCACGTTTTTGTTGCAAGGGATTCTTTCGACAGCACGCGCGCAAGGGCGTTCGAGCGATTTCGACATGCGCTCGCGAGAGGCATATTTGGTAACAGCTTATGAAGATGCCGAAAACCCGGTGGTTTCTTCTAGGAATGAAAATGACGAAAACCCAGTGGTTTCTTCTAGAAAAAAGAACGCAGGCGCAAGCTTCCTTTGAAAACCCTTCTTGCGAAGCCATGTGTCTTTTATATGCTTTCGTGACTCCCGATTTTGAAATCCTCACGAAATCTTGGGTTTTTGAAAAACGTCGGCATGCGCGCGCGACGACGCGCGCGTGTGCACTTCGTTCCATTGTTTGCAAGGACCCTCCAGTGGCGCTGAAATGCGAAGAAGTCTCAAGCAAACAGCCTCCACAAAAAAACGGCAAGACTGCCCTGACGGATCCCCCTGCGCTGTCGAATTGCAAAGAAGCCTCCAGCGAAACAGCCGCACCGCCATCCGCGAGTAGCAGCAAGACTGCTCTGAAGGACCCCGCAGCGGTGCTGAAACGCGAAGAACTCTCCAGCGAAAAGGCCGTTCCAGCATCCGCGAGTAACAGCAACCTGGTTCTGAAGGACCCCCTTACAAAGCTGCATTACGGTGGGGGCGTTCGATAAGGAATGTGCCCAGGAGGCTGCAGACCCTGGAGAATTTCTTGATCGATGAGGGCGGCGGTGATGTCCCTGGCCGATCCAAGATTGGGGGTTCGCCGCTTCCAGACCCTGGGTTCCTTATCTAAGGATTCCTTGTCTGATGCCCCCAACGTACGACGAAGTCTCAAGCGAAACGGCCGTTCCCGCATCCGCAGCTGGCGGCGACACCGTGGTGCTGCTATAAAACGCGGGGCGAGCGCGCCCTTTTGCTGAGGTTCGGGCCCTGTCTGGCCATGGGGCCTCTCGGAGCAAACTGTGAGAGTACGTATCGCACGGGAGCGCTGTTGCTGCTGGGGGGCCGGTTTGGGCGGCACCCTGAAACGCTCGAGCGGGACCTCCCATTTCAAAGGAAATGCAGCCGGCGCCGACGCGGGAGCGCCAAGGCGCCTGTAGGGGGCCCAAGAATGATAAACAATCAATACTCAACAGCAGCAGCACCAACATCGATGCGTCGAGACAACGCATCAACGCAAACATTGAACTTTCTCAACTGATATCTCTGTGGGCCAAAAAGGGATGCACGACGCATCCCTGCCGCACAGAATCGCCATTCGCAAAAGTAGGAGGAGGTCCAGGCCAGCTGGCCATTGTTTGCTTCGCCGCCTTGGTTGACAGAAGTCTTTCCGCTGGTCTTCCGCTAGTGCCCCCGAGGGCGAGATCCCCCGAGGTCTATCGGTCTATCCCTCGAAGGTGAAGCTCTTTTTGCAGCGCTCGTGGTCGAAAGGGAGGGGGACAAGGGCCCTAACGGGCAGAACTGGAGCGCATTCGCAGCAACCGCATCGCCACACCTGGCTCCAGGGCGATTTGAAGGCGCGTCCCCAGTTCTGTGCCAAGCAAGCTTTTGCAGAGCCTGGACTCAGGCGACCCGCGAGCGTGTTCTGATCATGCTGGGCTGCTTTCTTGCTGCCCCCCCCTCCTACATCAATTTTCCCCCCTCCATCCCCCCTGCTAGAGACCCGTGGAGCTCACTAAAACGCCGTAGAAGATCCTAGGACTTCCCAACATCTTGTGCTGCAAAGCCCTGGACAACCCTCCCTCCTCCCCATCCCCCCCTTGTTGTCCCCCTCCCCCTCCCCGTGCCCCGGCGGCACCCCAGGGTCTTGAGATCCTTATAGGCGGCCTCCTTGCTGCCCGTCTTCTCGCCCTCCCGCGTCACTATGGGAACCTGCGGGGGTAGGGGCAGTGGGAGGCGCGACCAGGTCGATTGTGGCGCCAGCGGCAGTGGCGGCCGGGAGGGTGACCACGATTAGACAGCCAGATGTGAGCCTTACACCTACTGGTCCAAATCTTGGGGAAGCCAAGGACACTGGTGAGGCTTCAAGACTGCCTCGGTTTGCCCTGGCTTTGGAACAGGCCGATCCTCACCTGAACACGCCGCACCTGTGTTTAGCTTCGGCGACATCAAAGAATCCAAACTTCAATGGGATCGACGGTGGACACGGGCGTGGCGCCTAGCCGCAGCGTGAGGGAGAGAGGTCGACAAACGCCTCTTATTCCTGCTCCATTTTCCTGCTCGTTCCTCTCCCCCGACGCCCGCCGACTTGGTGCTTGCCTATCGCCGGTCCAGGCCCATCTCCCTGGCCCCTGGACGCCCATTTCGAAGCTCGTTTCGAGCGGGGCGCGGCCAACGAAAGTGGTCAAGGATGGACCGAGGCGGCAAGGATGCAAGGATGCCCTTCGGAAGGATGCCCATCCTTACTATGCGGGCTGACTGTAAGGGAGCAAGGGGATCCTGTCAGTCGTGCTTCTGTCCGTGTGGCCGGCGAGACCCAGTGCTTCAAGGAATCCTCACCTCAGGCTTCTCAGACCATACGGATTTCACGGGGCTGCACCTCCGGGCCAAAGAAACCTTGAGCGGTTCAAGGGTTACGTTTCCTGCGCCCACTTCCTTCCCTGCTCGCCCGTGTCCTGCTCATCATGACTGCGTTCTTGTTCCTGTCCCTGCCACCAGAATCGTCCTTCGGCTCGTTCATCCCTCTTTAATCGGTCCCTCCTCCATGTTCCATCCCCTTCCTTCCACATCGCTCTCCCCGCCTCCGTTCTCATCTCCCTCGTCCTCCTCCACTTTCCTCATCCACCACCTCATATCATCATCATCCTCATCATCACCACCATCATCATCATCATCATCCTCATCATCATCATCATCATCATCATCATCATCATCGTCATCATCATCATCATCATCATCATCATCATCATCATCATCATCATCATCATCATCATCATCATCGTCATCATCATCATCATCATCATCATCATCAGCAGCAGCAGCAGCAGCATCAGCATCATCATCATCATCACAATCGCCATCTGCATCACCATCATCATCATCAGCATCATTATCGTCATCGTCACAAACACCATCACCATCACCATCACCATCACCATCACCATCGTCACCACCATCTGCATCACCATCATCAGCAGCAGCACCATCGTCATCGTCATCGTCATAAACACCATCACCATCACCATCACCATCACTATCATCATCATCATCATCTTCAGCATTACCATCATCACCACCATCGTCATTTTCATCATCATCATCATCATCATCATCATCATCATCATCATCATCATCGTCATCATCATCATCATCATCATCATCATCATCATCATCATCATCATCATCATCATCATCATCATCACCATCGTCATCATCATCCGAGTGTTCGTCCCACACCTTTCCCTCGGCAGCGCGGCCGCGACTTATCCACCCACCGCTCGTGGGCCGCGCGACTGCATGAGCAGCGCTGAGCCCGCCCAAGGAGGGGAGGAGACGAGAGGTCAACACCAAACATGTGCGTTTTTAATACGTATATATAATCCGCAATAATGTCGCCCCCAGGAGGCCATCGAGAGGCCCCCTAAGAGGCCCCAAGAGCCCCCCAAGAGGCCCCCAAGCTGCTCCCAAGACGCTCACTAACTGATCCCAAGAGGCCCCCGAGAGCGCTCCGAAGAGACCCGAAGAAGCATCCCTGAGAACTCTGATCCACAACCAAGGCACTGTGGCGGGATGGGCCGAAGGCCAAAATATTCTTTAACGCATGTGAATATATATGTATAAATATATATATATATATATATATATATATATATACATATGCATACATATATATGTGTGTAAATGTAGATGTATATTACAAGCCTGCATTGGCGCTTCGCGCCCAGCACCTTGGTCCCTGGAGCTTGGCATGCAGGCGGAAGGGCAGAACGGTAAGATTGAAAAATTAGCGATAACTGCTTGTTGCCTTTTTCCAGAGATGGTCGCTTCCGTCCCTCATGTTTCCTCTTCCTCCTCACCAGTCTCGCCTTAGATCTACTCCCCATCCTCATCAGCTCTTTCTGCGGAAGCTCCTCTTTGGAGAGCCTCTTGGGGGCATCACGAAAGTTTTTGAGGGTTTCTTGGAGCCTTCTGGAAGCCTCCTGGGTTCCTTTTCGGGGCGTCTGGGGGCTTCCTCGGCCCACCCTGCTTCCAACCGCGGTGTCCCTGAACGACCAGGTCACGATTTGGAATGCTTCGGGGGCGTCTTGGGGCCATCTTGGGCCGTCATGGGGCTCTCTTCGGGCCATCTTGGGGTCCTGTTGGTCCGTCTCGGGGCTCTCTTGGACTATCTGGACACCCTTTTGGAAGTTTTGGGGCGATCTTCGGGCCTCCTGGGCGATCTCGGACACCCCGAAGACCGAAGAACAGAGCATTCCCAAATCATGCGAAAAACCCACGGCGAGTCAATGCCTTTTTGCATTTCGAGAGCCTCTTGGGAGTCTTCTTTGGGTCGTCTTCGGGCGTCTTCGGGCATCCGGTTGGTGTCTGAGGCCTCTTGGGGCTCTCGAGGGGCCGTTCGGCCGCTTTTCTGACCGATTTGGGCCCGTTAGCCAAGCCCAACAGGGGCTTACAGGAGCCCTGAAAAGCCCGGGGGACCGTCTGCAGGTGCGTCCAGGGGCCCCCAGGGCCACGGATCGGGGGGGTACCGTTTAGGTTGGGGGGGTCCCACCACCCCCGGTTTGTAAAAACATAGCAGAGGGTTACGCATACACATATCTATATATATATATATATATATATATGTATTTATGTATGTATGTATATATATACATATATGTATAAAAGCCAGAACAATGTAGAGTCAGGAGGGGAAGTGTAGCGGCCAGGCGAGTCAGACGTCGCACTTCAGGCGGGTAATGCTGCAGGCGAAGCACGGTTGTAGAACGGTCGTCGTGGCACGAGATAGACGCAAAACTAATACCTGCTAATCCTGTGCGCATCATGCGGCCGACCACGTAGAGAGCGGTCGGGCGGAGGAAGTACTTGACGGTGGATTCGAAGCGTTGTCGGCCGATTCTGGCGACGCGCTCAGCGTCATCATCGTTCTCCTTCTCAGCGGGTTCAGGCGCCCAGCGCGGTCGCTCATCGGGCAGTACCTGCCCTTCAGATAGCCGCGGCAATTGCACATGCCTACGCTGCAACCGAGGTATTGGCCTTGGCCTCGCAGTAACACTCGATATGTATCCCAGCGACCAGTCAACGGCCCGCTGGTCTGAATTCTGCGCCTTTGTCACGAGGCCGCCCTGGCGCCTGAAGTCTGCCTGATTGGGCGCATCGGGTTTTGCAGGCCATGTGCAGAAGTAGTCTCGCGAGGTCTGACAGCATCCCGAGCACGCCACAGAGTTGGTCGGGGACATTCGCCCTGTTTCGCTGGGCATTTCGCCCGCAACATGGTCAGTTCTTCCCTGGGCCTCGCTGTAATTGGCTCAATCGTCGCGCAAAAGGTGGCAATGTTGAATATCGGCCTGTGCCCAGCGACGATCAGGTAGCATTGGCGACCCACTGCTTCCCCAAAGCGGTGGCGCATCCTGCAAGGACCGATACTTATTTTCACTGCATCCGATTGCTGGCACAGCTATCGCGCGGCACTGATATCTGATGCTTGCAGCGCATCCCCAAGGAATCCAGCAGCGTTCTGACAATACTGGCAACGATCTTTTTCGACTGCGCCCAACACCAGTGCCCGAGCCATCCTCTGGATGTTTTCGATATTCAACACCACAGTGGGGCCCGCAATGATCCAGTTGATGCGCCTGCTGGGGTCGCCCCTAAGTTGGGTCCCCCGCTGGCGCCAACCATGCTGGCGATGTAGTAGCTCAGCTTCGGCATCCATCATTCGGCACGCGAATCTTCCAAATCCTGGAATGCCACAACAGTGCAATGTGCGCGCAAACTGAGCGTGTGTGCGCAGCCTGACGAATCGTATTGGAGTCGTCGCGATGCAATATCGCGTAGGCTTAGTCGAATCCGACTGCTGGCATTGACTGTCCCGTCCCCTCGCAGTTCTCATAATCTCCCCAAGGTGCTCGTCGATGTGTGTTTCCTGTGATGGCAACGATAACTCAACCAGCAGCTTGCCAGACTCTGCAGCCATGTCTGGAAGTGCTATGGGCCGCGCTTCGTTGGCTCCTCTCGGGCAAGGGCTCCCTGACGCTTGGGCCCGGCACGCTCCCCGCCCTCCCGCCCGAGAGAGAGAGAGAGAGGACCATCGCGATGGAGTCGAGGGGCGCCGTGCAAGGCCGCCCGACCAAGGTGCATTGGGCCTGCACGCCCAAATGCTCGAGCAGGAGCCTCGCGGCCGCGGCGCTGCGGGGAGCCGCCGGCGAAGATCGCCCCGCTCTGCAGGAGAGGCTTCGCACGAGGATGGAGATGCGGGCGAGGCATCTCGGAGATAGGCTTGACAACGCGACTGCGCTGCGCCCAGCTCGACGCGGCGCAGAAGTCCCCGATCACGGTGAGCTTCGACGACGCACAATCTCTCCAGTCGTCAAACGAGCTATGCCTGGTCATGGTGTTGCACTGGTTCGGCTTCCCCAGGGCCGCCATACAGCTCATGGTGGAGCTTGAAGCGGCGATGTTGAGGTAACCGGCATTGGCGGCGTCGTCATCGCTCTCTTCTGGCACCATTCCGAGAGCATCCAGGTCCACGGCGTTTAAGGGTCGCTCTTCGCCATCACCATGTCGCAGAGGATAACATCTAGAGGGTGGTACGGGGGGGTAAAAAGCGTGCGCGGACGATGCCGCAGCTATCCTGGTCGCCTTCATGCACATCGTGCGCAGGCTACATGCTCATGCTCCGCAGGACACGATGCGCAGAGAGATCCGAGAAGTGGGACTTGAAGCCAAGCACGCGCCACGTGGCCCCGACGGAGGCGGCACTCCGCGAGCCTCTGCAGTCCGAGATCCAGGCGTTGCTGGTCGGGCACGTGCTGCGGTGGGCAGCCTTCAAGGTGGCGTCCTCCTCCGTCCTGGCCCTGTAGATTGGCCATGCGGTGGAGCTGCAGATCGCCTGGCGTGCCCCCCGACGTCGGCATGTCGGTCGCGATACCGGAAAATTACTACGTCTCAAGAGTCATCCCCGTACTAGGGTGACACACACACACACACAGCGGACCAGGTGCTCCGAACGGCCAGAGTCTGAGGCCTGAGCACGCTGGGCAAATCTGCAAAAGCTCAAGTAAACTCAGAGACAAGAGAGCAGGAGGGAAAAGAAACGAGAGACGAGAGGAAAGAGCAGAGATGGTGGCCACCCCTATCAGCTCCTGCGGCGCCTTCTCCGTCGCCCGCTGGCAGGCGAAAGGCAGCAGGGAGCCGCTCCCGTGGAACCCGCGGCGCGAGGAGCCAGCAGCGATGGCAAACGTGTTCGAAATGCCGATCGGGGCAGTCGAGACGAAAGCCTGGGTGCAGGCGATGTGGCGGGGTAGGCCCTGTGTGAGGTCCACGCAGCTCTCGACGCTGTCGGTCCTGACCCAGGCAACTGTAGAAGAAGAAAAGACGACATAAACATAAACTTGTTTGCGCTCCGCGCGGATTTCGTGGATCTGCGCAAAACCCACCCACCCCCCAGCGCGCGGCGCTGGAGGCGCCGCCGGGGGGTCGCAGCGCGGATCCAAGAAATCCGCGCAGAGCGCCAACAGTTTCTGATTATGGCGTTTGTTCTTCTCGGAAACTGGTGCCACACTCTCGAAGGTTCCAGCTCTTTCCTCGGCGTCGGCGCCGGCAAGAAAAGTGCCGCCGACTGCGGACCGCTGCAGAGGGTCGCCGCGAGGGCGCTGGCCCGCAACGAGTCGAGGTTTTGCATTCGTGCGTGGAGAGCATGGCCGACGCGTTGGGGACCGCGGAGCCGCCGTAGGAATCAAGCCATCCTCAATATCTGCTGAGAACGGAGCGTCGTGCCATGCCGGATAAGCGAGATGAAAAGAGAGAGAGAGAGAGAACAATCAAAAGAGAGAGACCGAGACGGACAGAAAGACAGACAGGGACATGATAACAGACAGAGGCAGATGCAGAGACAGAGAGCGAGAGAAAGAAACAAAACAAACAAACTGACGCGGCGCCTGCCTAGCGACCAAGGCAGGATGAGCCAGCATGGCTACGGACACCCCTCCTCCGACGACGACGAATCCTCATCCTCCTCCTCCTCCTCCTCGTCCTCCTCATCCTCATCCTCATCCTCCTTCTCATCATCATCACCATCATCATCAGCAGCAGCAGCACCAGCACTGCCACCATCACAACCACCACCATCATCATCAGCAGCAGCATCAGCATCATCATCATCATGCTCATCATTATCATCAGCATCATCAGCAGCAGCGTCAATATCATCATCATCGTCAGCAGCATCAGCATCAGCAGCATCCTCATCATCATCATCAGCATCATCATCATTATCGTTACCATTCGTCCGCATCGTCCTCGTCGTCGTCACCACCGTCATCATCATCACCATCGTCATCTTCGACGGAGAAGGAGCCGTGAGGAGCAGCAAGGACTCCTCCAGCCTGGGGGACTGCACGCTACCGCTGCGCGGCACAAGCAGGAACTTGTAGAGCCTCAGCTTGGCCCAGAAGTCCTCAAACAAGGGGGAGGATCGATCACGGGAAAGGGGAGGTGGAAGAGGATGGGGACGGGGGAAGTGAGAGAAGGTAGAAGCGAAGCAGAAGGAGGAGGAGAAGGAGGAGGAGGAGGATCCGCCACCGTGTCCCCTGGCACGTAAGTCGTGGTAGAATTCCCAATACTGCCTGGTAGGGTTCCTGCCGTCTAATGCGGGACCGCCCCTCTCCAACCGCCTCCCCTTGCGTGCATCGCCTACCCCGGAGGCAATGATCCCTCGCAACGACAAAATATGGATCCGCACAACCGAGGCCACGACCCCTCGTCAAAAACGACGGACCCGCGTCCAGAGCTTCCAAGACGGCCCATGCAGACAACCACGGAGAGCACGATGGCCCAAGCTGCCTCGAAGACGGCCCGAGATGGCCCCAAGGCAGCTGACTATGGCCTCAAGACGGCCCAAGATGCCTCCGGGAGGGCCCAGGGGGGCAACACGAAGACCTCAACAGGGCCCGAAGAAGCCAAACTCGTCGATTACCTGTCGGTGCTTGAATGCTGTTCGCATTCTCGCCCTCCCGGGCTTCCGACAGCTCAAACCAGCCCAGGAAGCCTCCACGACAGCCCCAAGACGGCCCGAGAGGTCCACAAGAGGCCCCCAAGATGGCCCAAGAGGGCCCCACGATTGACCAAGAGACCCAAGAGGCGTCAAAGACAGCCCCAAGACGGTCCAAGAGGGCCTCCCGTGGGACCCAAGACGGCCTTCAAATGCCCTTGAACGGCCCAAGATGGGCCAAGCCGGCTCCACGACAGCCCCCAGGCACCCACCATGCAGCCACGAGGGCCCCAAGACGGCCGAAGAGAGCCCCAAGACGGCACAACAGGCCCCAAAGACGGCCCAACAGGGCCTAAAGGGACCCACAAGACTGCCCCACAGGAGGCCAAGAAAGTCCAAGACGGCCCGAACGAGTTCCATGAGAGCTCCCAAACAGTGAAGACGAAAAGTGCGACATTTGACGACCTCCCTCTGCGTCCTCCTCCTCTTCTCCATACTACCATGTGTGATAGTATTATTACTCGTAATATGAATATATTCGTGTTAGTATAACTCGTGATCGTACTCTTCTTATGTTATCATTATGATCCGTATTATCATTCATATTCGTACCAGTAAGATTGTAAGTATTACTATTCTGAGATTGATTGTGAACAACACAACAATATGATTATGCTTCGTATGCTTCCTCCTCCTCCTCCTCCTCTTCCTCCTCTTCCACCCCCACCTCCACCCCCGCCTGCTCCTCCTCCTCCTCCGCCTCCTCATCCTCCTCCTCCACCTCCTCCGCCTCCTCCTCCGCCTGCGCCTCCTCCGCCTCCCCCTCCTCCTCCTCCTCCTCCTCCTCCTCCGCCTCCGCCTCCTCCTCCTTCCGCTTCCCCTCCTCCTCTTCCTATTCCTCCTCATCATCATCATCCTTCTCCTCCTCCTCCTTTCCACTCCTCCTCCTCCTCCTCCTCCTCCTCCTCCTCCTCCTCCTCCTCTTCCTGCTCCTCCTCCGCCTTCTCCTCCTCCGCCTCCTCGTCTTCTTCCTCTCCCTCTGCCCTCCTCCTCCTCCTCCTCTTGCTTCTCCTCCTCTTCCTCCTCCTCCTTCTCCTCCTCCTCCTCCTCATCTTCCTCCTCCTCCTCTGGCTCGTCCTTCTCCTCCTCCTCCGCCGCCGGAGGTGAGCAGCAAGTATTCGGTGCGCAAGTGTTGGGCGGACCTCAGCGACGGGGAAGACTGCATGAATGCGGTGGAGGCTCACCCTGGGCAGCAGTTCACCGTCGTCGGCAAGAAGAAGGCGAAGAAGGATAAGAAGAACAAGAAGAAGGAGGCGGCGCTGGATGAGAGCAGCCAGATGAGCCCTTCAGAGGGAGCCGACGACGGGGATGTTGACTAAGAGATGGTGGAGAGCCTCAAGCCGGCCTTCGTAGAGGGCCTGCTGGGCGCGGGCGTCGATGCGGAGGCGCTGAAGAAGTTCGACCATCTCACGGGCTTGGTGGCCAAGCAGGCGCTGGCGGCGCCGAACGACAAGGAGGCTCGGGAGGAGCTGATCCGCGTGCGTGGGGCGGCTCTGGGGGGTGGTACCTCCCGAAAGCCCCCGCCAGGGACGAAATCCAACTCTGCCTAGCGGTGGCTGTGGTTGGTGCTGCTGCTCCTACAAGCTGGGTCGGGGGCCGTCTCTGGCGCGCGCACCTCTTCGGAGGTAGCTGGTGGCATGTTTGGGGCTACGCCTCCCGTTCGCTGGATGCGATACGCTGCTGCGTAAGCCCCCCAAGTCCCCAAGTCCCTAAGTCCCTCCTCCTCCTCCTTCTCCTCTTCCTCCTCCTCCTCCTCCTCCTCCTTCTCCTCTTCCTCCCCCTCCTCCTACTCCTCCTACTCCTCCTCCTGCTCCTCCCCTTCATCCTCTCCATCAGCATCGTCACCACCACCACCACAACCACCACCACCACCACCATCATCATCATCATCATCATCATCATCATCATCATCATCATCATCATCATCATCATCATCATCATCAGCACCATCATCATCATCATCAGCAGCAGCAGCATCTCATCATTAGCAGCAGCTGCGGCAGCAGTAGCAGCAGTTTCAGCAACATCAGCATTATCATTAACTACATCATCATCATCATCATCATCATCATCATCATCATCATCATCATCATCAGCAGCAGCATCATCATCAGCAGCACCATCATCAACATCATCATCAGAAGCAGCAGCATAAGCAGCAGCATCAGCATCATCATCAGCATCATCATCAGCATCATCATCAGCATCATCATCAGAATCATCAACATCATCATCACCACCCTTATCGTCATCATCATCAGCAGCAGCAGCATCATCATCATCAACATCAGCAACATCATCAGCATCAGCATTAGCATCATCATGATCATCATCATCATCAGCATCATCATCATCGTCAGCACCAGCATCACCATCATCATCATCTCATCATTAGCAGCAGCTGCGGCAGCAGTAGAAGCAGTTTCAGCAACCTCAACATTATCATTAACCACATCATCAGCATCATAATCATCAGCATCATCATAATCGTCATCATCATCAACATCATCGTCAGCAGCAGCATCAGCATAAGCAGCAGCATCAGCATCATCATCAGCATCAGCATCATCAGCATCATCAGAACCATCATCATCACCATCCTTATCATCATCATCATCAGCATCAGCATCAGCATCCTCATCATAAGTATCAGCAACATCGTCAGCATCAGCATTAGCATCATCATCATCGTCCGCGCAGTCATCATCAGCAGCAGCAGCAGCATGTTCACATTTATCAGCATCATCATCATCGTCGTGATCAGCATCATCATCCTCATCATCAGTATCATCAGCATCATCATCATCATCATCATCATCATCATCATCATCATCATCATCATCATCATCATCATCATCATCATCGTGATCATCATCATCAAAATCAGCATCAGCATCATCATCATCGTCATCATCATCAGCATCAGCATCATCCTCATCATCAGCAGCATCATCATCAGCAGCAGCATCATCATCAGCACCAGCATCATCATCATTATCAGCATTGTCATCATCATCATCATCAGCAGCAGCAGCGGCGTCATCATCACCATCGTCATCATCATGATCAGCATCATCAGCATCATCATCAGCATCATCATCAGCATCACCAACATCATCATCATCATCAGCAGCAGCAGCATCATCGTGTGCATCAGCATCAGCAGCATCATCATCATCAGCAGCAGCATCATCATCAGCATTATCATAAGCATCCTCATCCGCATCGTCATCATCATCATTAGCATCGTCGTCAGCAGCATCGTCATCATTCTCATCATCGTCGTCAGCGGCAGCGGCATCATCAACATCATCATCATCAGCATCATCAACACCACCACTTCCATCATCATCATCATCATCATCATCATCATCATCATCATCGTCATCATCATAGTCGTCGTCAGCATCAACATCACACCCATATTACCAACAACATGATCATCAACACCATCATCGTCATTATCATTGTCATCATCACCATCATCATCGACATCACAACCACCGTCGTCGTCGTCGTCGCATTCGTCATAATGATATGATTCGTCGTCGTAGTCGTTGTCGTCTCGTCACAGGCATCAGCACCATCATCAGGATCAGCATCAGCTTCATGCTCACCTTCATCAATATCGTCATCGGCATCGTGACCGTCATCATCAGCAGCATCATCAACGTCGTCATCATCGTCATCGTAGTCGTAATCAGCAGTAGCAGCATAGTCATCATGAGCATCATCAGCATCATCATCTTCACGGCTTTCTGGCTCTCCCAAGCCTGGAAACACGGGCTGTCGGACGGCATCCCGTGCCCCGTCGAACAGTCGCCATCATGAATGCTGGACTGGCACGGTGGCGGGACTTGCCGCAGGCAGCTGGAGAGGAGAGGGAGGACGAGGAGGAGAGCGAATAGCCAGGAGATATCATCGAGAAGGGTTTCGAGAGCGAAACTTTGAGGCAAAGGAAGGGGAAAAGAGAGGAGGGAGTAGGGGAGAGCGGAGGAAGAGGAGGAAGAGCAGGATGAAGAGCAGGAGGACGTGGAAGAAGAAAGATGAGGATAAGGGGGAGAAGGAGGAGGAGGAGGAGGAGGAGGACGGCGAGGACAAGGACACGGACGAGGAGGAAGAATGAGAAGAAAGCGGCAATCATGAATAAGAAGAGGTATATAAGGAGGATCAAGAGTAGCGGGATCTACGCACAACGAATTTTAAGCCGAAGTTCAAACTGGTCTCCTCTACCAAATATGAAACGTGCAATCCATCGTAAAGTATGGCAGTGCCCAGGTGACGTCGACCGGGTGCAAATGTGGCTGCACAGACATCGGAGCGCAGCGTACGGAACGGCTTCGGAAAAAGAGTACATCGATCGCCGAGGGCCTAATCGGCGTGCTGGCGGCTGCCGCGCCGTCCAGAGGCGGTGAGCGTGAGCCATGCGGCCCCTGCCGCGTTCGGCTGAGACGGGCCGGCATTCTGCCTGCCGCCCAACGGATGGCGGCCTGCCTCTCCGGTGGGATCGGCGCTGCCCTCACTTCGGCAGCTCGGGATGGTCGCACACCTCGTGGCGAGAAATCTCTACGCCCGAGACCCCCTCCCGCGCTCCTCCTCCGCGGCCACCCGCCTCGTCCCCTGGTCGCCGTTGTGTGCCCCTTAGCCCGGCGCGGCCCGCTGGTTGCCGAGCGCGTCGGCGCCCGCCCTCGCTGCTATAACCAAGAAGTTCGGCCGGGACAGGCAGGACCTCCACACTGCGGCGGCCGCAGCAAGAGTCGGCTCTAGAACAGCAGAAGAACTGCATCTGCATACCTTTCGAAGGTCCACGCGTTGTCCAGCGCAGATCCAGGAAACCCGCGCAGGGCCCTCGGAAGCTTACGCCTACTGCCGCTGTTCCGTGCAAGGGCAGGAGAACGAGGAGAGAGAGAAAAAGCGAGGCAGGACGAGGAAGGATGAGGGAGGCGGGAAGGGAGGGAGGGAAGGGAGGGGGGTGAGGAGAAAGAGAAGGGAGAGAGAGAGAGAGAGGACGAGGACAAACGGAGGAGGAAAGAGTAGGACGAGGAGGGATCAGGGGAGCTCTGGATAACCCTGGTAGTCTTCAAGGAGTCCACCAGGTCCCCAAGGAGTCCCCGAGGGCTCCAAGGAGTCTCTGAGGGGGGCCCAGAGGCCTCTGGAGGCCTCCAGAGGCCCTCCTCCGCCTCCTTCCTCCTCCTCCTCCTCCTCCTCCCACTCCTCCTCCATCTCCTCTTTCTCGCCGTCCTCCTCCTCCTCCTCCTCCTCCTCCTCCTCCTCCTCCTCCTCCTCCTCCTCCTCCTACTTCGCCTCGCCCTCATATCATCCTCTTCCGCCTCGCCCTCCTCCTCCCCTTTCTCCTAGGGGGGGGAAACAACACGAAGAAAGCCAATCAACACTCTCAAGCCTCGATGCGCGAGAGAGGAGAGGTGCGCTTTAGAACAAGATCGTAAAACGAAGCCCAGACGAGGATAACATCGGGAGATAAATCGCGAATCTCTCAGATCTGGCGGTTCTGGAGGATGTCTCGGGCGCCGCGGCCTTCTCGGTGCGTTCCAGAACGCTCTGAGGGCGTTCCTGAACGCTGCGGAACGGATTCATCCTCGTGCTAGCCCCGTCCGAGATCTCGAGGCAGAAGGGCGAAAGAAGAGGGGCGTCGGGGTCAAACTTCCTTCGGGGCGTACGTCTTGTGCTCGATGCCAGCCTCCACGGCTGGGTCGGTGTCGACCCAATGCGCCAGCTTCTGACGGGCCGGGATCTTGTCGTCCAGCTCAGGGTGGAACCTTACTATCCTCCAACTCGACCTCCTCCTCCTCCGCCTCCACCTCATTCTCCTCCGCCTCCTCCTCCTCCTCCTCCTCCTCCTCCTCCTCCTCCTCCTCCTCCTCCCACTCCTCCCACTCCTCCTCCTCCTCCTCCTCCTCCTCCTCATCATCATCATCATCATCCTCATCCTCATCCTCATCCTCATAATCATCATCATCATCATCATCATCATCATCATCATCACCACCATCATCATCATCATCATCATCATCATCATCATCATCCTCTTCCTCCTCCTCCTCATCCTCCTCATCATCATCATAAACCATTCTCCCCATGCTCGTCGTTTTCGGCACAGAGGAAAAGCGATGTAGTGCCGTCCAACATGTCTCCAATGCCGTTGCACAAGTCTCCGAAGCAATAAGCTCCGCGGTGAAAGAAGACGTAGGAGTCGCCATGTATATGCCCCTCGAGCCCAAGATATCAGCTTCAGCCCCATACACTGTTTCAACACGTGATACAATCCCCTCCTCAAGGGGGAACCTTACAATCATCCAGCTCCAGCTGAGGCTGGAACTTTCCCCTCCTCCTCCTCCTCATCTTCATTCTCCTCCTCCTCCTCCTCCTCATCATGCTGATCCTCCTCTCCATTATCATCAGATTCATCCTCCTCATCATCATCATCATCATCATCATCAGCAGCAGCAGCAGAAGCAGCAGAAGCAGCATCATCATGGGCATCAGCAGCAGCAGCAGCATCATCATCACCATCATCACCATCATCATCATCATCATCATCATCATCATCATCATCGTCCTCATCATCATCATCATCATCATCCTCATCATCATCCTCATCATCATCAGCATCATCATGACCATCACCAGAATCATAATCATTATCATCAGCAGTATCATCATCAAGATAATAATCCTCTCCATCATCATCATCATCATCATCATCACCATCAGCATTATCATCGTCGTCGTCATCATCTCATCATCCTCATCATCGTCAGCATCTTCATCATCATCAGCACCATCGTCATCATCATCATCATCATCATCATCATCATCATCATTATCATTATCATCACCATCACCCTCATCCTGATTTCTCATCATCATCAGGATCAGGATCAACATCATCATCAGCATAATCATCATCAGCATCACCACCATCATCATCACCATCATCATCATCATCATCATAATCAGCATCATCAGCATCATCTCCTTCATTATCATGATCATCATCGCATCACCAGCAGCAGAAGCATCAGCTTGACATTCATCACCACCAACATCAGCTTCATCATCATGATCATCACGGTCATCATCATCAGCGGCAGCAGCATCCACATAAATATCATAATCATCATAATCGCCATAATCATCATAATCAGCATCGTCGTCGTCGTCATCATCATCATTATCATTACCATCTTCATCATTATTAGCATCATCATCAAACTCAGCATCATCGTCATTCGCAGCATCATCATCATCAGCAGCATCATCATTATCAGCATCATCATCACCATCATCATCATCACCGCGATTTCTTCTCCACCTCCTTCTCCTCCACCTCCTCCTAGTCATTATCTGCTGTCCTCCTCATTCTGCTGGCGCGGGACCGACCCCACGCGGCCAGGGCCATCCGGGGCTTGTTCTCGACGCTGGCGGCAGCAATCGCCGTCTCCGCGAACGTGTAGAGGGGCCTCATGTACTGCGCGTTCAGGCCAACCGGGGCCGCGCGAAAGCCCTTCTTCGAGACGTCGAAAGACTCGTACCTGGGGGCAAAGGCAAGAAGAATCATGAGATCACTGTTTGCTCGCCGTTGCTCGCGTGTCACTCAACACGAGTACCCACAAGCCCTCGGTGCCCGCCCTCTGCGTCTTCGATCGTACTATCCTTCGGGGGTAGTTATTCTTTGCCTGCCACGAGATACTGATGAAGAACAGATAGGAATGACCCAAACGGGAGCGAGGAAGGGAGGGCAAAACGAGAGGGGAAGGGAGCCAGAGGGAGATAGGAGGACCAAAGACAAACAGAATCTGGCAGGAAGGAGAGGGAAAGAGTGACAGGAGGCTGGGCAAGCGGACCCTCACTGACGGGGCGGGCGGGCGGAGCCCAGGGGCGAGTCGGGCGGGCGGGCCCCCATGAGCAGGCCAGGCGGGCAGGTAACACTAACCCAGACATGCGACGTCCTGATTTTTTCGGCGCGGTGCCCCCTCGGGCCAAGTTTTGACCCTGAGTCGTTTGTCTGACGCTCCTGGGGACCGGCGAGGGCCCTCAGGGGCCGAGAGCGGCCAAAAACCTGCCGCTCTGATTTTCTTACGACGCGCTCACGTCTGGGAAAAGCGAGCGGGTGGGCTCCAAAGAAAGCGAAGGGTTGGACCTTACCCGGCGGGCCAGGCGGGCGGACCCCAACGAACGGGTCGGGCCGGCGGACCCCAGCGGGTGGGCCGGGCGGGCTGATCCTGCCCGGCGGGCCAGGCGGGGCATTCCAGCGGTCGGGCGGGCTTCCAAAGAGGCGAACGGGCGCACCATCACGGGCGGGTCGGGCGGGCGGACCCTAGGAGGCGCGTCGGGCGGGCAGACCCTAACGGGCGGGTCGGGCGGGCGGGGCATTGAAGCGAGTTTCGTGAATAGGGGCGAGGTCTCACGCGAGAGCGCGAGTCCTGAGTAAATTGCACATAAGCCTCGCGTGAAAGCGCGGTGCCTGGGCGTCGACAGCGGAGCGCCGCAGCTGATTGCGAAGAGGTCCCAGGCGAAAGCGCGATGTTTAAGTAACTTGCGACCGGATCTCGTGCGAGAGCGCGATTCCTGGGCGTCGAGGGCGCAGCGCCTCAGTGAAACGAAAGCAAAAATCTCAGGTGAGAGCGCGACTGCTGAAAATTGCAAGGAAGTCTCGACCGCGAGCGCAATCCCTCGACAAATTGCGACGACGTATCCAACGGGAGTTGTTTTGTACTCCGGGGGGCCGCAACACAGTTTGGGCAAAAACTTTCCTGGACAATGAACAGGCAGGGTGCGAGCCCAGAAGGGCGTTTCAATTGAAAAAGTGGGCGCTAGTAAAAAGGGACAACAATAGTTCCTCAATTGGTGCTTGCATTTGGGATTGCGATTCCTGGTTTAAAAAACTGGGCCTGTCTGCAGCTTTGGCGGTTATGTTGCTGCCGGCTGCCGTCGCCGCCCCGTCGCGGCCGCGTCGCCGCCCAGAATACGAATGTCAAAAAAACAATCAAAAAAACATGCAACATCCGTTTTCGAAAAAAAACTGCACGCGCGCTTTTGCGAACTGCTACGGGAAACCACCGAATGTGCAACATGTTCTTTAAATTCGGCCAAACGGGCCCCTCGCGCGCGCATGCCAAAAACATTCAAACGCCCTTGCGCGCGTGTTGTGGGGGGCACGACCCCTGTCAAAGAACACAATGCGGGCCATTCGCGCGCATCGGCCGCGCGCACACGCAGCAATCCTTTAAAAACTCGCATCGCCGACGCGAGGACACCATCATCGTCGCCGGCGTGATCAACATCGGCGCCGTCACTGGCCTTGCCATCGTCATCGTCATCATCGTCACCATCATAGCTACTATCATCATCGTGGCTAGCATTGTCGATGTCGCCATGATACCGCGCCCGACCACGTCACCGACTCGCACTGAAGTGCCCGCGCGTCAGCGCGGCCTGCGAAACGCGCTGGGAAGTGCCCAACGGTCAACGCCACCGCGGTCGCGTCGGTCGCGCCACACTAGCTGTCCATTGCACGCGCGACAACGCTCGGGCTAGCGTGGCCGAGGATATGCATCAGGCACGACCAAGCAATCATTGGAATCGCCGCCGAATCGGTTTTGCAACCAAGTTGCGGGTGGGTGGGTGGGACGATTGCGCGAGCAGTGGAAGTGACAACTCCAAGTCCTTCAAACAAAAAGATCTACTTCCACTCCCTGGACGTGACGCCCCACCTTCTCGCAATGCAAGTGACGCACGATTCTGCCCAATCGTCCACCCAACGTATGAGCTCAGACCATCCCAGGCTGACGATTATCGACCCCCCCTTCTCACCCTTTGCAAAAAATCGCAAGACTAAAAAATGCGCGCACACTCGTTCATCACAACTCATCAGTTGTCATGAACCCCTTGCCACAAATGGGACGAAGTGCAAAAGCGCGCGCCGTCGCGCGCGAATGCTGAAAACCGTCCACCAAACTTCGGTTTCGTAAGGACTTCAAAACCGATTGTCTAAAAAACATACAACTGCAAAAAAACACATGTTTTCGCAACACGGATTTTCAAAACAAGCATTCGCTCGCGCGCTTGCGAATTCTGAAGACAACCATCGGCTTTTGTTCCAACATTTTCATCACATGCTAGCAAACTTGTCTCTTGCGTGCACATGCCGGGCTCGTTCGAGCGACCTTGCACGCGTGCTGTCGCGAGAACCAGTTGCAAAAACAAGACGAAGTGCACGCGCGCGCTGTCGCGAGCGCATGCCTAAACCCTTCAACCAAAACATCGGCGTCGTAAGGGTTTCATAATCGACTGCCCCGATCGCATACAAATATAAACCGTCTGTTTCGCAACAAAATATCGCTTTATATATATATATATATATATACATATACATATTTAATAATAATAATAATAATGATAATAATAATATACATAAAAAAACCAACAACAACAACAACAACAACAAAACAAAAACAAAAACAAAAAAAAAAAAAAAAAAAAAAAAAAACGGCACAAGCAAATACTAAACGCACACGTGCGCGTCGTCGCGTTCGCATGCTGGAATCCTTCAACACTCGTGGGCTCCGCCCAGGTTGCATAACCAAGTCTCCCGAATACAAACAAGGACGCGCTCGCGCCCTTGCAAATGTTTGAGAAAACCACCTGGTTTCAGGCCTTTTCAGAAATAACACCATGTGGGCCACTCTTGCGCGTCGGCCACGCGTGCATGTCGAACTCCTTCCAAAACCTTCATCACCGACACAAGGAAGACGCCGTCATCGTCGTCGGCGTGATCAGCATCGGCGCCGTCCCTGGCCGTGCCGTCGTCGCTGTCACCATCGTCACCAGCATTGCTACGATCATCATCGTGTCTATGATTGTCGACGTGGCCATGATACCGCGCCCTCCCAAGTCACCGACACTGAAGTGCCCGCTGGGAAGTGCACAGCGGTCAGCGCCACCGCGCCCGCGTCGGTCGCGCCAAACCAGTTGGCCGCTGCGTGCACGAGCATGCATGGGCCAGCGCGGCCGCAAAGATGCACCAGCCAACACCAAGCACTCATCGCAATTGCCGCCGCATGGGCTTATGCAAACCAAGTTGCGGGAGGGTGGGTGGGATGATTGCGCGAGCAGTGTAGTTGACGATGCATTGCGAGCATAAGTTGGTTGAACCCGATAGATTCTCCTTTCTAAAAAGAGAATAAATAGACTCTACCCCCCCCCCAGCCTTAAAGCTGTCCCCTGGGATGCTATAATTTTATATATATATATATATATATATATATAGATATATATATATATATATATACATATATATATATAATATATATATATATATATATATATATTCTGCACACTCGTCCATCCTAAATATGAAATCGTACCACCCCAGGCAGGCCGGTTTCCCCTCCCTGAAGGTCCCTTTAAAAACACTATGCGGTGACATTTTTCGTTCTAACATAACACTTTTGCACGAATCCCTTGCAACAAATGGGACGAAGTGCACACGCGCGCGTCGTCGCGCGCGCATGCCGAAATCCTTCAAAAACCTTCGGTGTCGGAAGGATTTCGCAAGCGAGTTTCCAAAAAAAAAAAAAACATACAAAAACACAGGGTTTCGCAACACTGATGTGTTAAAAAAGCTTCCGCGCGAGCTCTTGCGAAATCTGAAGAAAACCATGGGTTTTGTAAGATTTTCACAAAATGCTACCAAACGAGCGTCGCGCGCGCGTATGTCGAATCTGTCGAACGCCCTTGCGCGTGTGCCGTCGCGAGAATCCTCTGCAAAAATGCGACGAAGTGCAGACGCGCGCGTCGTCGCGCGCGTACGCCGAAATCATTCAAAACCCATCGGTTTCGGAAGGATTTCAAAATCGCGCGTCCAAAAAACCTACAAAAACCCAAGGTTTCGCAACACGGATTTTCAACAAAAGCGTGCGCGCGCGCGCTCTTGCGTCGTCGTCGTCGTCCTCCCTCTTCCCTCGTCGTCGTCGTCGTCGTCGTCGCCGTCGTCGTCTGTCTTTCCTCGTCGTCGTCGTCGTCGTCGTCGTCGTCGTCTTGGCATCGTCGTCGCTTCCGTCGTCGTTGTCGCCGTGGTCGTCTTTCCTCCCTCGTCGTCTTCGTCGGCGTTTCGTCGTTGTCCCTCCTATTTCGTCGCCGTCGTCGTCGTCGTCGTCGTCTTCACTCCTCCCTCGTCGTTATCCTCCTCCCTCGTCGTCGTCGTCGTCCGTCGTCGGCGTCTTGTCGTCGTCCCTCCTATTTCGTCGCCGTCGTCGTCGTCTTCGTCGTCGTTGTCGTCGTCTTCGTCTTCCCTCCTCCCTCGTCGTTGTCGTCGTCGGCGTCGCCGTCCTTCCTCCTTCTTCGTCGTTCGCGTCGTCGCCGTCTTCCCTCATCCATCGTCGTTGTCGTCGTTGTCGCCGTCGTCGTCCTCCCTCCTCCCTCGTCGTCGTCTTCGTTGGCGACGTCGTCGTCGTCTTCGTCGTCGTCGTCGGCGTCGGCGTCGTCGTCGTCTTCGTCGACGTCGACGTCGGCGGTGTCGTCGTAGTCGGTGTCGGCGGCGCCGTCGTCGTCGTTGTCGCTGTCATCGTCGGCGTCGGTGTCGTGGCCAAGTGCCATGTGGTACCTACCGTCACGATCTTGTCTTAAGAAGTCCTGCGACCAAGTTGCGGGTGGGTGGGTGGGATGTTTGCGCGAGCAGTGGAGGTGGTCAGGCGCGGTGCAGGGTAGTCAACTGCACCACATAGATTGCACCTCTTATGTTGCACAACATAATGTGCACCATGTAGATAGCACCACATAGATTGCATCGCATAGGTTGCACAACACATGGGGGTTAAATTATAGGGGTGTACCACGTAGATCGCACACAACGTAGATTCAACCACGTTGATTGCACGAAACATACATTGCACAAAACATACATAGCACAGCATAGGTTGCACCACGACCTTGCCCACATACGATTGCACCACATAGGATGCGCCGCCTAGGTTGTACAAAACACAACTTGCACCACGTAGATTGCACCACAGAGACTGCACAACAAATATAACATATTGCTAGAAACACACTGCTTGGGGTTCACGCTGGTTAGCCATATACTTCACAGTATACTACGGCTGCTGGACTGCTTGCTCTCCGTTGCCCCCTTGTCACTCAACATGAACACCAAACCCTTGATGCCAGCCCTCTTGGTCTTCAACGATGCCCACGTTGGGGGTATATCTTCCTTGCCTGCCACGCGTGCTCGGCGCGGCCGCTAGTATAGGAGGAAAGGGAGACAGGACAAAGGGAGAGAGCGAGGAAAGGATGAGGAAACAAGAAGGGAAGGACGCAAGAAAGAGAGAGGCGGACTGAAGACGAAAAACAAAGATCAGGAGATGGAGGAAAGAGGAGCAGGAATATTCACGAGCTGACCCGAACGGGCGGGTCGGGTGGCCGGGCACAAACGGGCGGGTCGGCCGAGCGGCCCCTGACGGGCGAGCTGGGCGGGCAGGGCGTTCGAGCGAGCGGGCGGGCTTCCCAGCAAACGAACGAGCGGACCCTGACGGGCATGTCGGGCGAGCGGACCCTAGCGGGCGGGTCGGGCGGGCGGACCCCAGGCGGCCGACCCTGACGGGCGGGCCAGGCGGGGCGGGCATTCAAGCGGGCGGGCGGGTGTCCGAGCAAGCGAACAGGCGGAACCTGACGGGCAGGTCGGGCGAGCGCACCTAACGGGCGGGCTCACGTCGCGGTGATGTCGGCGTTGGTTTCCGACACCGCGTGACTGGTTCAGTCTTGCGGGATCGCGACTTTCCGATAGCGCTGATCGTTCGATGTCGGCCGCTTCTGAGCCACTGGCGCGCTCAGCGTTGAGCGCGGGCGCTGTGGTCCCCGCAGCGCCAACGTGGCGCGACCTACTGTCTGCCATTGATTTGCTCCGTAGCACCAGACGCCGCCCGGGAAGAGCTTGTGCAGCTTCTCGATGGTCTTGCCCTTGACCGGTTTTTTGCCTTTGGCGCCCTTTTTGTTTTTGGTAACCTTGCCCTCCTTGTCGAGCTTGCTGAGTGGCAGATCGCCAGAGACGTAGAGCACACGCTCCGTCTTCTTACCCTTGAAGTTCTTCTCGAGGGTCTTGATGAGAAAGTTGATCACATCTGGGCTGGTGGACGCGTAAACCTGGCAAGCATCCCCCCGAGCTGATCCTGGACTTGACCCTTATCATGATCAAGCAGGCCCGCTGCATCCAAAGGGAAGAACACCTTTCCTCCCGTCGACGGCCCGATGGACCGCCCCGCTCCTGACACATCAACAGATCGGCCAGATCAGCGGCTTGATCGAGCCCAGAGTGGCGGACCTCCCACCTTCGTCCTCCCGTTGTGATCATGTGATCATCCGGTAGAGGGGGAAACAATTACTGAACACTCCCCCTCCCCCCCAACTCTCAAAGTTGGCACGCGCGGGGGAGACTGCGGTCGAGGTGCAACTCATCAGACCCACCGCCAACTTTGAACATTGGGGGGAAGGGGAGGCGTTGACAGATGAATGTGGCACGAGTGTTCGCTATTGTTTTTTCCGAGGCTGGTCTGTCCAGCTCCGCGGGGCCGCATTACGGGCTGGAAAAGGGGCAAGAGGGGCGAAGGGGGGTGGTGGACACGAGGGAGCAGCCCGCCAGGGAAGGAAAACGAGACCTGGCCCGGGCCGTCGCGGCGGGGCTGGCCAGCTCCTTCCGAACCGCTGCCCGGAGGAGGGTCCAACCCCTGCTTCAAGTGTGCCGAAGACTGGCCAGCAGCTCTGTGCTGGAGCCCCTTGGGGCACTCCGTGATCCAATGCTGGGAACGCGACGTGCCAAACGGCCCGCACTCCCCGAACCACACAATACCTTACTCCTCCTCCTCCTCCTCCTCCTCCTCCTCCTCCTCCTCCTCCTCCTCCTCCTCCTCCTCCTCATCATCATCATCATCATCATCATCATCATCATCATCATCATCATCATCATCATCATCATCATCCTCATCCTCGTCATCATCATCATCATCATCAGCAGCAGCAGCAGCAGCATCAGCAACATCATCACCACCAAAACCACCTCCGCGACCATTTCCATCATCATCGTCATCATAATCATAATAATCATCATCATCATCATCATCATCATCATCATCATCATCATCATCATCATCATCATCATCAGCATCAGCATCAGCATCAGCATCATCATCATCATAATCATCATGATCATCATCAGCAGCAGCAACATCAACATCATCGTAAAATCCAGTATAGGAATAGGAATAATAGTAACAATGGTAATAATGCAACAACTAATAATAATACGAATAATGATGGTGCTAATAACGAAAATCACGATAATAATACGGATGGTACCAGCAATCATAGTAATATGACTGGTAATACTAGTGAGGATGGTAACGATAATGATAATGGAATGATAATGGAATGATAATGGAATGATAATGGCAATGCGAATGGGAATGGTAATGGTAATGGCCATGAGGAGAAGAGCAAGAAGAGTACAAATGATAAGAATGGTAATGTGAATGCGAATGATTCTGCTAATTTCGCATAACAACAACAAGGATGCTGACAATGACAATGATACTGATAATGGTAATGCAAGTTATACTAGCACATTAAGATCATCAAACTAATGATACTGACCATAAGACGAACGATAATAATGATAATACGAACAAGAAGAATAACAAGTAACAAATGATGATGATAAGTCTCAGCATCCTTGTCATCAGCATTAGCATCATCATCACCATCGTCATCATCATCATCACCGCCAGCGTCAACGCCATCATCAATCACAACAACCTCATCAGCAGCAGTATCGTATGCATCACCGTGCCTTCTCACTATTCTCATCCTCGTCACCATCACCATCATCACCACCGCCACCACCATCATCATTATCATCACCACCGTCGTCAGTACACCTCCTGCTCATAGCACCCCCAGCACCACACCATACCTTACTCCTCCTCATCATCATCGTCTTCATGCCTTCCCTTCATCCTTATCCTCGTCACCATCATCACCGCCACCACCATCATCATCACCGTCGTCACTACACCTCCACCTCATAGCAGCACTCTGGTCTACTAAGGCGAAAACGGTCTTGGGATTCTTCTTGAGGTCGTTCAGCGACGCATTCTTGAAATGGCTGACGCGCGTAGCCTTCCAGTCGAACCCTCAGCCAGGCGTCCCGACCGCTTCCGCCCCTCCTCCTACTGTCTCTTCCTCCTCCCCCTCCTCCTCAAACCACCCCATCCGCTTCCTTCTCCTCCTCCTCCTCCTCCTCCTCCTCCTCCTCCTCCTCCTCCTCCCTCCTCCTCCTCATCCTGAGGGGGCGCACAGGCAGGCCGAAGAGAGCGTCAGTAGATGATCGGATGTTACCCAAGGTTTAGGCTAAGGGTGGGGTCGGCCTAACCTTAGCCTTCCCTGATAGCCTGTGATGGTTCATCCTCCTTTTCCTCCTCCTGATCCTCCTCCTCCTCTCCTCCGGCTCCTCTGGCTCCTCCTCTTCTTCCTCTTCTTCCTCCTCATCCACCCCTTCATTCTCTCCATCATAATCGTCATTGCCATCATCACCATCATCATCAGCAGCAGCATCATCAGCAGCATCACCATCGTCATGATCAGCATCATCATCAACATCATCAGCATCACCATCATCAGCAGCATCATCAACAGCATCACCATCGTCATGCTCATCCTCATCCTCCTCCTCCTCATCATCATCCTCGTCATCGTCGTATTCGTGATTATGATACGGTTCATCGTCGTCATCGTTGTCGTCATCGTCACAAGCGTCAGCAGCATCATCAGGAGCAGCAGCGTCAGCTTCATGTTCTCCTTCATCAATATCGTCATCGGCATCGTCATCGTCACTATCAGCAGCACCATCATCATCATCGTCGTCATAATCGTCTTCGTCATCGTAATCATCAGCAGCGTCATCATCGTCGTCCTCCATCTCCTCCTCCTCCTCCTCCTCCTCCTCCTCCTCCTCCTCCTCCTCCCCTTCTTACTCCTAAAATCACCCCCAGGCATCTCCAGAGGTGCATTCTGACCAGATTTTCGAAGCGAATCCAGCCGTGGCCACGGAGACCTCGCCCGAGTAGTGATGCAACATGAAACCATGCCTCGAACTGCGCTTACCACACTCTCTCTTGCTCTCTCTCTCTCTCTCTCTCTCTCTTTCTGTCTCTCTCTCCCTCTCTTTATATATATACATACATATACATATATCTATATATATACACACATATATATGTATAATATGCATATCCATATATACCACTCTGTCCTTCTCCATCTCTCTATCTTTCTCTCTCGTTGCGTCAGCGGGCCGCTGAGAACTGACCAGCTGATCATATAGAACATCTTCCGACGCAGTGTTGCATTCAAAGAGGTGAGGCGACTTCCGGTAATCGAGTCGCCGTGGGACTAGAAAAAGTCCACAAGCTGACCTTCCTCCTCATCCTTCTCCCCCTCCTCCTTCTGAGACTCCTCCTCCACCTGCTGAGTTTCGCCCCCAGCCCTCCTCGAGGATCGAGGAGGGATTCCAGACGATGACCCTCCTCCTCCTCCTCTTCCTCCTTCTCCTCCCCGTCCTTCTTCTCCTCCTTCGACTCCGACTCCGACTCCGACTCCTCCTCCTTTCTCCTCCTCCTCCTCATCCTCATCCTCATCCTCATCCTCATCCTCCTCCTCCTCCTCCTTCTCCTCCTCCTCCTCATCTTCCTCCTACTCCTCCTCCTCCTCCTCCATGCATCTTCCTGTGGATCACTCCTCACTGTCACACCACCGTACGTGTCATCAGGGCGAACGGCGTTGCGCCGCCTTATCCCCCCGGGTGGAGGACGCGGGCCGTCGTCGTCCGGACGAGGGCTCTCGCCGTGACGCCGCGCGCCCGCTCGCCTTAAGTAGAAAAAGCCCAGCACGCTCCCGCACGATCCCCCCCCGCGGGAACCGACGTATATGCGCTCCCGAGGCCACGATCCCGCGCAGAACAAACTACTAGAGGCCTCCCAGACGGGCCCCGAGTAGATGGGGTCGAAAGATCGCGCTGCATCGCCAACGCTTTGCCCATGCATCCCCGGTGTATCGGCGATGCATCCCCGACGTCGGCGGTGCATCGGCGACGCCAGCGCGGGGAAGCACGGTCTCCGCATCGAGCTGCATCGCCGATGCATCGGCGATGCGGCGCGATCCTCCGACCCCATCTACTCGGACCCCCTCCAGCAGGCCTAGAACTACGGGGCCGCGCTCCCGAAGACATGGATCTCTTTTCCGGCGGCGAGCGAGGGGCGGGGGGGGAACTAAGAAGGAGAAGGCCTCCTCAGAGGGCGGCGGCACTTCTCAGAAGCCCTCGCGGCTTCTGAGAAGATTTCTGTGTTTTCGGGGAAGGCTTAGAAAACTTCTCAGAAGGCCGGGGGGGGCTTCAGAGCCTTCTGAGAAGGCAATATCCGTCTTACTTCCCCCCCGGGCTCGCCGCCGACTTAAAAAACAAAAACATGTATACGCGCTACCGAGGTCACGATCCCTTGTAAAACACCGTGGAACCGCGCTCCCGAGGCCACGACCCCTAGTAAAAACTACGGGTCCGCATTCCGAATCGACCAACCAACCAACCAGCCGCCCAGCCGACCCGCAAGCCAACCGACTGGCCAGCCATTCTGCCCAAAGTCTGGCCAGAAAACCAGCCAAGCTCTCCGAATTGCCCACCTGCCAGCCAGCCTTATGATGTTCCACCCTACTTTAGCCTTGATCACCAGAAAGAACTTCGAGCGCCACGAAAGTACCGAAGCTCGAGGGCGTTCACGCGTCGGGCCCCGGGAGGCGATGCTCGCTCGACACCGTTTCGACACTTTTCTGGGCCCTCGAAATTATTTCTGGGACGTGGTCCACAAGTACTCCAGATTTCGTAATAAAAGGGAGGGGGTCTGGACCCTCCAAGACAAGCCATTTCAGACCTCCCCCGTGGGAGAACCCTCCAAAACATCGTCCCCAGACCCCCCCAGGCCCTCCAAGATAGCCTGGAAGAGACCCCCCCCGAAATGAGACCCCCCTCCCTTTATTACGAAATCTGGAGTACGATGGGAGCAACACAAAGCCAGTCGACCTGCCAGCCCAAAACCACCCCGGCCACACGGTCGTGCGAAGGGGGAGGCCTGCGTGCCCCAGCCCCCGACGTGTTGTGACTTCTTCTGTGCGACGTCGACCCCCAAAGGTCTGGACCCCCTCCCCCTCCCCATCGACCTCCTCCTCATCATCCTCCTCCTCCTCGGAAAGTTTTTCGAAATCTGGAGTACGATGGGAGCAACACAAAGCCAGTCGACCTGCCAGCCCAAAACCACCCCGGCCACACGGTCGTGCGAAGGGGGAGGCCTGCGTGCCCCAGCCCCCGACGTGTTGTGACTTCTTCTGTGCGACGTCGACCCCCAAAGGTCTGGACCCCCTCCCCCTCCCCATCGACCTCCTCCTCATCATCCTCCTCCTCCTCGGAAAGTTTTTCATCCTGAATCGTTTTTTGACGGTCCTGGGGCCCGGGAAGGGCCCCCGGAGGCCGAAAATTGTGAAAAACCTCCCGTCGTGACTCCTTCACAACGCAAGAGGGTCTGGGCCAGGGGTGGTGATGGGAAGACGCCCCTCAGACGAGGCGGGAGCACTATGACTGCAAGTGGGCCCACGACTGCGACCAGGACGAGGAGCAACAACAAGCCTGGGAGCGGCAGCGGAAGCGGGAGTAGAAGGACCTGCAGAGGCAGGAGCAGGAGGAAGACCAGAGCAAGCCCAGGATGCATCAGCGATGCAGCAATGCACCCTGCCATTCCAAGGCCCCTCCCCAGAGGCCTCTGATTGCACGTATTCATCTCCCCTTGCAAGAGCCCCGTCCTCAGGAGCCACCTCCTCAGAAGCCCCTGATCACAAGTATTTCTCGTCACCGTCCCCTGCTCAAAGCCTCCTCCTCAGAAGCCCCCCGTAAATGACGAGCCACGGCCTCAACGCACGGTCCCTGGCTGGCCTCTAGACCGAGCCGCCTGACCCGACCTCTAAGGCCGGCGCGCTGGACGAAGCCGGGCTTGTCCAGAGAGAACCGCGTGTGCGGATACTTCTCGAAGAAGCTGACCAGGCCCGCCTGTCAGGGAGCCAGCACTCCACCTCTTACTGTGCCTTACGGGGGAAAAATGGAGGTGGAGGAGGAGGAGGAGGAGGAGAGGGGGAGAGGAAGATAAAGAAGAAGAGCAACAAGAAGAAGAAGAAGAAGAAGAAGAACGAGCGCAGGCGCGCGCGTCTGTCCTCGGATCCACCCTCGGACACCTCCTCCGAGTTGATGCCCTCCGCCCCCAACATGGCCTCGACCCCGCCCTCGACCATGGCGCTCCGGTCGACCCGGGCGGCCGCGAGGACGCCGGTGCCTGGCGCGGTTTCTGAACGGCGAGGGATCCACAACGGCTGGGGCACTGGTGACCTGCCGTTCGTCGGAGCCGCTAGGGGACAAGCTGACTTCCCCGCCCGCCGTCAGCGCCTGGAGAGCCAGGTGCGCTGCCCGATCGACTGCACCCTTATCGTCGGGGTCGCCTTTTGGGGCGGGGGGGGGGCAACGGGGCAACCCCGCGCACTGAGAGGCACCAAGGTCCCCAGGTACGCCGCTGATCGCAGGACAGCATTGGTGTGAGGCATCCGCCCTCGCGTGGGCAGCCACCCCATTCGATTCGCCAAACCCGCGGACGCTAGGCCCGTCCCCAAGAGGGGAGGGCCTCGGGTCATAGGGTCCGTCAGGCGAGTTAGGGAAGTCCAGAGTCATCGTCACATGTGTGCCTGGGACGCAACTGATCGCCACACGGACATGTAGTGACGACGCGTCCAACCTTGGGAAGGCAGCTACTCCGCTCCATCCTCTTGACCCGCCCTCCCCAAGGTCGGGAGGATCGTCCGGCGGGTGAGAGCACCAGGCATTCGCGTTCACAGCCGTACCAGGTTCGCGATTGATTTGTTTTCCTTTACTTTATTGAAGAACTGAAACCAAGTCTTCACGCGCGCGTCGTCGCGCTCACATGCTGAAATCAATCAAACACCAGCAACTTCACAAGGATTTCAAGGTCGAGGTCGCAGACTATATGTACATACATACATACATACATACATACATACATACATACATACATACATACATACATACATACATACATACATACATACATACATACATACATACATACATACACACACACATACATGCATGCATGCATGCATGCATGCATGCATGCATGCATGCATGCATGCATGCATGCATGAATGCATATATTCATGCATACATACAAGCATTACTATACTAGAACCATCGCGCGGGTTTCGCGCGGGCTCAGGTTCTAGCAGGCCCCAGGCTTGACAAGTTCACTGCACCACTGAAGTAGTGGATCACAGATGGTTTGAACGGGAAATGAAGAAGTGCCCAAACGCTGAACGCACTATGGGCAGTGAGAAGCCCATGCATGTCAATTCTCATTCCGGAAGGCTTTCGGGGAAGATGCTTGCGTACGGGGGTGGCGGCCTGATGAGTCGGGTTCCCAGAAGGCCTTCTGGGAACATGGGTTTGGGGGGCGTCTTGGGGAGCCGCTTTTGGGGCGTGCCGTCGTCGTCGTCGTCGTCGTCGTCGTCGTCGTCGTCGTCGTCGTCGTAATGTCGTCGTCGCCTCTTGGGGCGTGCCGTCGCCGTCGTCGTCCTCCTCGTCGTCGTCGTTTCGTCGTCTTCGCCGTCGTCGTCGGTTCAAGAGGGCACTTGGGGCAATTTTGCGCTAAACGATCCGCGGAGGGCCGCGAGAAGGCGATCAGTCATGTCCCCAGTCAATTTCCCAGACAGCTCTCCGGTAGCGCGATGGTACTTCGGAGCCTCCGAAGACTCTCGGGCCCATGATGAACCATGTTCTCGGAAGGCTTTCTGGGGACATGATTTGTTGGGGTGTGTTGGGGGGCCTCTTGGGCGTTCCCTGGGGGCCCCTTGGGAGCCTCTTGGGGCTTCCTGGGGGCCTCCTGGGGGCCTCGCGGGGCTTCGTGGGAGCCTCTTGGTGGCCTCCAGCCTCTAGGGCCAGAGACCTAAAAATATCGGTTCACGGTCCCCCTCTGGGCCCCCTCTTGGGGTGCTCTTGGGGCACAGCTGGGTTGTCTGGTGAGCCTCCTGGGCCGTCTTGGGGCCCTCTTCGGGGCCTCGTGGGCCGTCTTGGACCGATCTGAAGGGCCTCCGAGGCCTTGAGGGAGCGCTGGGAAGAGAGAAAAGCAAGAACACCAAAATCCTTCAAAAAACAAAAAAACAAATATAAATGTTGCCTCCCAGAGCCCTCTTGGGGTGCCTCTTGAGTCCGCCCTGGGGCGCATTGAAATCCTCGTCAGCCGTCTTGAGGGTATCTTGGGCGTCTTCGGGGACTCTTGGGACCGTCTTGGGCCCCCTTGGGACCCCCTTAGCCTGTCGTGGCCTGCTGCGGGGCGGGCCCGGGCCGTCTCGGGAGCTCTGGGACCCCCGAAAAAACCCTGGGGGCGCCCATGGGGGGGGTACAGGCAGCGGCCCGCCCCCCCCGGCCTACTCCTATGTGTATATATATACACACACATACAGACATACATGCATACACACACGTACATAAATACATAAATACATACATACATGCATGCATGCATGCATGCATGCATACATACATACATACATACATACATACATACATACATACATACATAAATGCATGCATGCATGCATGCATGCATGCATACACACATACATACATACATACATACATGCTACGTACGTACGTACGTACAAACATACATAAATACATACGTACATACAAATACAAATACATACATACATACAGACAGACACTCAGCCAGGCAGACAGGCAGACAGGCAGACAGGCAGACATACACGTACACATGCATACACATGCATACACATGTACATATACATATATGTATGTATATATATACATATATATACATATATACATACCTAAATGTACATGTGTTACATATATATACACAACTTTACAAATCTACAAATATATACGTACATACGTGTACAATTATATATATACATATACGTAAACCTATACACAAACATCGACTCATACGCATGCACAGACATATGCATACACAGGTACGAATACTGACAGTAAACATATACCGAAACATATGCATGTACGAATACGTGTATATATATGTATATATACATACATATACATATACCTATATATGTACATATACCTGTGCGTATACATATACATATGCATAGGCAGATGGATAGACACATACACATACGGATGGAAATACATTCATTCATGCGTACATACATACATATATACATCTACCCAAAAATACAAAGTGCGACACCCATTGGTTTCTTGACATTTGAACCACATGCGAACAGGCTGGCCTCTCGCACGCGCATCTCAAAATCATTCGAAAGCCATTGCACGCTTGCTGGGTAGAAAAGGCACGAAATGTCAGTGGATACCACGCGGGTCACTCGCGCCCGTCAGCCGCGCGCGTACTTCGTGATCCTTCCAAAACCTTCATCACCGACACGTGGACACCACCATCGTCATCGGCGTGGTCAATATGGGCGCCGTCATTGGCCTTGCCGTCGTCACTGGCATCATCGCCACCAGCATCGGTACTATCATTATCGTGTCTGCCGTTGCCGACGTCGCCCGCGATCGCCCGAGCCACCGACTCGCACTGAAATGCCCGCGCGCCAGTACGGCCTGCGACACGTGCTGGGAAGTCCCCATCGATCAGCGCCACCGCGGCAGCGCCAGTAACAACAGGCTAGATGGCCGCTGTGCGCGCGAGCATGCGCGCGCTGGCGTGGCCGCAGCGGTGCACCAGCCAGCGCCAAGCAGTCATCGAAATCGCCGCCTCATGAATTTTGCAAACCAAGTTGCCGGTGGGTGAGTGTGTTGATTGCACGAGCAGTGGAGTTGCCAAATCACTGAAAACAAAAACGAAGGCACCACAAAAGTTGCACCACTTAGACCGCGCCAAATAGCTTGCACAGCACAGGTAGAATGTATGTGAGGAAGAAACTGCACAACTTGCACCACACGGATTGCATGACATATACAGCACTACACAGAGAGCATAACATTGATTCGCTGTTCTCGGAATCGAATTCGCATCCACTGCTGCGTGAAAAATGCCTCGACGGCGGCCCCAGCGGCAGGCTGTGCCATGCGTGCGGACAGCGTGCCGCTCCGCTGAACGGGGCGGGAGGCTCGGAAAGGCTCGGGGCGTTGGAGCCTGGGGGCCGCGGCGTGGACAGCGTGTCGTTCCGAGTCGCGATGGGCCAGAACCAGCGGAGCGACACTCCGTCTACGAGTTCCCTGACCGCACGAGGGAAACGAACGAGGAGCCCTCAGTGCAAGCATTGCTTCAGGAGTATCGACACTCACGTGCTGCTGTCACACCCTGGCTGAAGCTCGCTACGACCACAAGTGCAACGTTGGCTGTGGAGGATGTTCAAAGATCAGGAGGAGGCAGGAGATTGAGGAGTTGGAGGAAGCCTCTCGAAAGGTCCGAGGCCCGAGTGAAAACAGCGTCCAGGCAGCTGGGCAAACTCGGCCCACCCGGACTCCCAGATCTCCGACGTCGTCATTTGCTTCATCATATGCCCCCCAGAGCTCCCGACCACTTCCAGGGGATCAATCTTTCATCGCGGGCCGTTCGTTGGCTGCCCCTGGACCCGGAACAGACCCCTGGAAATCACCATCCAAAAAAAAAAACGGGATTCAAAAAGTCAGCAGGCAAGAGGTATGGAGTTTAGAGCCCCGCCGCGCCTGTCATCTGCACGCCGTCGGCGGCAGGAAGAACAGCAAGGAGCAGAGCGCTCCCCATGGAACGTATGAACGTCATGGCTAAATATTCCAAGTGGCCTGAGAACATGCATATCCGATTCTTACCTCCTCCTCCCCCTCCTCCTCCACGTCCTCCTCCTCCTCATGCTCCTCCTCCTCCTCCCCGATCCACTTTCTTCTCCTCCCCCTCATCCTCATCCGCATCCTCATCATCATCCCTCGTTCTCCCCTCGCCATCAATTTTTATCACGTATCATAATTAACTTCCCCATCCTTCCTCACTTCCCCCTCATCGTCCTCCTCTTCCTCCTCCCCCACCTCATCACCACATCAGCATAATCAGCATCATCCTTATCTTCCTTCCACATTCCCCTCCTCATCTCCATCACCATCATCCATCTAGCATCCACCCTTCTCTTCCTCACGAGTCTCTTCGGAAGGTGAAAGAGATATAGGCGCATCCTCACCTGACAAGTTCTTGAGCTGATGACGGGCAAGATTTTCACGTGAACCCCTGTGCGTGCGCAGAAAGGGTAGATAGTGGGCCAGCTGGACGGAAATTGCTGAAGAAATGCTGGGGCAAAACGGAAAGGGGAGACGCTTCAGCGAGCATCATGACTGCTCTGGATATGCATGTGTTTGTGCCCCTCTGTATATGCACTGGCGGAGTAAAATGGACAGGTACAATGCAGGTGGGCGCTAGGCGCACTCGGGCCAAGAAATGGCAAGCGCGGATAGAAAGGAAGTGAAGGGCTGACTGGATAGGACAGCTGAGGAATTGACAGGAGACGAAAGGGAGAGGATCTATAAATTCAGTTATCCACATCCGATTGTATCAGCATTTGCGACTGGATGCGTCTATAAATATATGCAGCTGCAGCTATGGCTGCGTATACACACGGAAAAATGATGATGAATGCGTATATGAGCATAATGCCAGCCAGCGTGGACCCCAAAGGGTGTGGCTGCAGCAAGTGAAGTTGTGCCATATATGTGGTGCGATATACGGTGTGTGCTGTACGAGGTGCCGCATGTGTTGTGCAACGCACGTGGTGCGATATACGCTGTTCAATAGATGATGTGCAAGCTCTGTTGCACACGCTATGTGGTGCAACTATATGCTGCGTTGTCGATGTGGTGCAATACACATCTACGTGGTGCAATAGATGGTGTGCTATCTGTGTTTTGCAATGGGGGCAACCGAAGCGGTGCAATACATGTGGCGCCACTACTTTTGAAACTGTTGAAATGTCAGTCCCCCTGCACGCGCAACCATCCCACCCACCCACCCGCAACTTTGTTTGCAAAACCCATGCGGCGGCGATTGCGAAGACTGCTTGGCGCTGGCTGGCGCACCGATGCGGCCGCGGTGGCCCACGCACGCTCGCGCGCACAGCGGCCAGCTAGTCTGGCGCGGCCGACACGGCCGCAGTGGCGCTGACCGCTGGGCACTCCCCAGCGCGTCCCGCAAGCCGCGCTGACGCGCAGGCACTTCAGTGCGAATCGGTGATTTGGGCGGGCGCGATACCATGGCGACGTCGACAACGGTCGACACGATGATGATAGTGGCGATGACGGTGACGATGATGACGATGACGACGGCAAGGCCAAAGACGGCACCGACGGTGATCACGCCGATGACGATGATGGTGTCCCCCGGTCTGTGGTACAACTTCTGAAATGATTTCGGCACCAGCGCGCGGCCGACGCGCGCGAGTGGCCCGCATGGTATTTTTTGACAGGGACCGCGTCCCCCCTAACACGAGCGCAAGGGCACCCGACTGATTCCGACACGCGCGCGCGAAAAGCCAATTCGGGCGAATGTGCTGAAGATGTTGAGAATCGATGGCCCCCTTAAGAAGTCGCAGAGGCACGCGCGCAGACCTTTTCGTCGAACCTGGTGCTGCAAAACGATATGTGTTCGTTTTCGGGGCACACGATTTTGAAATCCAACGCTTTTGGAAGATTCTGGAATGCGCGCGCGACGGCGCGCGCGTGCGCTTTTCGTCCCATGGCGGACTCAAAGTTACGATGGACGATTGTTTTTAGTTTGGATGGACGATGGGGCAGAATCAGATGCACATGGCCATACGAAAAGGTGGGCGGTTAAACCCGCCCTCGGGGGCTCTATTCTCTTGTAGAAAAAGAATGTCTGCTGTGCATTCTATGTGGCGCAATCTCTGTGATGCAATCCGTGTGGTGCAATCAACGTATACATCCCCAGGCCGAGAGTGGTTCCCTCTTGGCGATGAACCTCACGGTCCCACGCGGTGCACGGGCCCCCTGGAAAATCAGAACGGCGAAGCCAATGAGGGTCGAACGGATCCGATGTCCAACCTTACCGTAATCGTGAAATCGCGGCGGATCCCATTTCCATGCGCGCGGATCCCATGTCTGATGTTCGGGATCCGCGTCGGACCCTGTTTTTTTTTTACGGCAGATCCCATGTCTACCCCGTCTTGAATTCATCATATTCAATTCGTTCCGGGAACCGACAAGAATGGGATCCGTCGACCACAGGCCCCCCCCCGTGTTAAGATTCTACGGGGGGCGGGGGTCGTCCTCTTCGGTTTCAAAAGGAAAAGCTTTCGTGCTGTGTGAGTGTTTGATATATAGAGGGAGATACATACATACGTATGTGGGTGTGTGCTGTGCACACTAGTTGGTGCAGGCTATGTTGTGTAAGTCATGTGGCCCAGCCTCTGCACCGCAATTTATGTTGAGCCAGCTATGTGGTGAAAATTATGTGGTACTAAACTGCGGTGAAACCTGTGCTGTGTAATCTATGTTGTGTAGCCCACGTCGCGCAGTCTACGCACTGCAATCAATGTTGAGCCACCTGTGGTGGAACCGACGTGGTGCACACGATGCGGTGCAAGATTTGCGGTGCTACCTATGCGGTACAATCTACGTTGTGCAACTGAATTTTACAAACGAGCTGACACATTACATGCTCTTGCAAACATCCCACCCACCCACCCGCAACTTGGTTTGCAAAACCCATGCGGTGGCGATTGCACTGCGTGCTTGGCGTTGGCTGGTGCTTCTCTGCGGCCGCGCAACCCGAAGCACGCGCGCGCAGCGGCCAGCTAGTTTGGCGCGACCGACGCGGCCGCGGTGGCGCTGACCACTGGGCACATCCCAACGGGCACTTCACTGCGAGTCGGCGACTTGGACGGGCGCGGTATCATGACAACGTCGGCAACGGTGGACACGATGATGATAGTAGCGATGCTGGTGACGATGTTGATAACGACGACGGCGCGCCCAGTGCGGGCGGCGATGCTGCTCATGCCGACGACGATGGCGGCGTCCTCGCGTCGGTGATGCAGGTTTTGGAAAGAGTTCGACATGCGCGCGCGGCCGACGCACGAGTGGCCCGCATGGTGTTCTTTGACACGGTTCGTGCCCCCCCATCACGCGCGCAAGGGCGTGCGAATGATTTCGGCATGCGGCGTCAGAGGCCCGTTCGGCTGAAAAACCTGCGGTGCGCTTAAGATTCGCAAGAGCGCGAGCGCACGTTTTGTTTGAAAAGTGACGTTGCGAAACCATGTGTTTTGATATATGTGTTGGACAGTCGATCTTGAAACCCGTACGAAACCGAAGGTTGTTTGACAGATTTCGGCATGCGCGCGACGACGCGCGCGCGTGCACCTCGTCCCATGCGTTAACAAAGGATTCTCGCGACTGCACGCGCGCAAGGGCGTTCGAACGATTTCGACATGCCCGCGCGAAGCCCGCTTGGTAGCAGTTTCTGAAATATACGGGAAAACATATGGTTTTCTTAAGAATCCGCAGGAGCGCGCGCGCAAGCTTGTTTTAGAATCTGCGTTGCGAAAACTTGTGATGTTATATGCGACAACGCACGCGTGCGCAGTTCGGCATATTTTCGAAAGTGGTTATTGAAAACCGGTAGTTTTTTATCAACGAGTGCGCGCGCATAGTATGTTTTGCAGAGTATGGCGGGGGGGGCGGATACCGGCTCGGCTGGGATGGTACGAAGTCAAATTTAGGGTGGACGATGGGTGTAACTTGCAACACGAAAAAGGGGGCGGATGATCATGGGGGGGGCGGGTAGAGTCTAACGGCGACGAGGAGGCGACGGGGCGGCGACGGCGGCCATAATGCCGCCAGGTCGACAGACAGGCCCAGACGACGGGCGGCGACGAGGCGGCGACTGGGCGGCGACGGCGGCCACATAGCCGCCAGACCGACAGGCACGTCCCAGACGACGGGCGGCCACGAGGCGGCGACGGGGCGGCGACGGCGGCCATATAGCCGCCAGACCGACAGACAGGCCCAGACGACGGGCGGCGACGAGGCGGCGACGGGGCGGCGACGGCGGCCACACAGCCGCCAGACCGACAGGCACGTCCCAGACGACGGGCGGCCACGAGGCGGCGACGGGGAAGCGACGGCGGCCACGTAGCCACCAGACCGACAGACAGGCCCAGACGACGGGCGGCGACGAGGCGGCGACGGGGCGGCGACGGCGGCCACACAGCCGCCAGACCGACAGGCACGTCCCAGACGACGGGCGGCCACGAGGCGGCGACGGGGCGGCGACGGCGGCCACGTAGCCACCAGACCGACAGACAGGCCCAGACGACGGGCGATAGCCGCCAGACCGACAGACACGTCCCAGACGACGGGCGGCGACGAGGCGGCGACGGGGCGGCGACGGCGGCCACATAGCCGCCAGACCGGAGACACGGCCCATTTCCTTATAATAGAAATTAGAACCCCTAAGTGCAAGCACTGTTTGGGGAATCGATAACATGTGTATATATATATATACATATATATATATATATATGTATACATACACACGGAATACTACCCTCGAGCACTCCGAGCGCGCTTAGGTTCTAGCAAACCCTGGTCGTCGACAAACTCGCAGGTGCACACATGTACGAGCGCAAACATGAATACAGGAACAAGAGTCGAAGCATTGATGTGACGATGGACCGAACTGGCACAAATATTATACCAGCATCCACCCACGCAAAACGATGCGAGCGCAATGCGAAGCAATGAAATATATTGCCATTGCCTGAG